CCGGGGGGGGGGGGGGGGGGGGGGGCAGCGCTCCCCGACGGGGGCCCTGCCCCCCCCCCCTGGCGCCACCCCTAGCCCAACCATGGTGGGACTGACGTGGTTGGTATACAGAGATCCTACATCTGTGAAAGTCCTTCCCTGCCCCCCCCCCTATTGCAAATTCCCGGATCCGCCACTGATGTCATCATTTATTACGTCGTTAAAACATTTAGAATACAATGACAAACATGATTTAAAAACGTTCACATCTAAAATCCCACAATGGAATTGACGGCCGGGACCCACAAAGGGTCCCCTAGTTTCAGAAAGCCAGAGGGTCCCCGGCCTCAGCATTACGTCACTGCTAATAATATTAATTATGATAAATGAAGGTGATGAGGATGATGATTTACAATAGACATCAATCAGTATTATTATCAACATCACCTTCATCATCATCATCGTCGTCATTATCATCATCGCAATCGTCATCATTATCGTTATCAATTAGAAGTATTAGGCACATTACAGTATTAACTTTTAATAAAGGAGACCTATATTATTGATATTATTACTACAGGTATTAATATTATTATTATTATTATTATTGTTGTTATTATTATTATTAGGCTATTATTATTATTATTTTTATTATTATCGTAATCATCATCAATTGTGACCATGCCACTTCAGCGTCTACGTGGTCTGCTATATTTCTCAACAACTGCAGGCTTTCGTCACATGAGCTGAACTCGACCAATGGAGACATCGTGAAAACGCGATGACATATGTGCACTGTAACCTAGCAAACGACAAAATATTGAAGCGGTCATGTCCCCGTTTGTATACCCTTATCCAGACTTTTGACCCCGTGACGCGTTTCAATATTACTTGTCTAGGCCTTGTTAATGTGGTAGAATGGTTATCGTGATTCTTGCTGGATCACGATCAAACGAAGAACAAACACAAAATACCGTTAACCATTAAAAACAAAATTAAAGGCGCATGAAAGCTAATTTTATAGATCCATGATAGGAGGGTTTATACTGGTGGAGTTCAAAACTAACTAATGCCAAGTGGGGTGCATACTGTAATTATACATAGGCCTATCCAGTTGTCGGAGACAGTGTAAAACCATACTGATGGGTTAATAGTACTAGTACATGTAGCTTGCTGTTTGTTTTCTTATTTTGTTAAGGGTCAATGCGCCTACCTTTGGATGTAGGTGGTGCATCATCAATGCTGTGTTTATTAATATTCGAATAGTATTATTGTTAAAATGTTTGTTCATAATGCATATGAAATCGGTGTACTGTGTCTTGATATTTATTAGAAGATTTATAAATTATATCTTTATAGGCCTATTATAAATAGAATTTGATAGCTAGCCTATATTTTGAATACGTAGTTTATTTGGTATCTTGGGAACGAGTGTTTTTAGTTGTTTATTTTTTTCCTCTATGATTTATTTGCTTTATTTTAGTGCAATATTATGCCTAAGTAGTTTAATTTTTCCCAACATAATTATATGGGCTACCGTACGTCTGCACTAATATGTTACTTAATGTTGATAACATATTTAATTGCAAAGTAGGCCTACAGCCAATCGTTGAATTACGTGATATGCATTATGGGTCTGGTTTGTGAATTGGTTGGGTATTCAAGCACTTTTGGTCACTAATTAATATATTATAGCTCATATAATGTTAGTTTTTATGTTATCTTACAATTTGTTTATAACATGATAAGCTTGCTGTTTATTTTCTTATTTTGTTAAGGGTCAATGCGCCTACCTTTGGATGTAGGTGGTGCATCATCAATGCTGTGTTTATTAATATTCGAATAGTATTATTGTTAAAATTTTTGTTCATAATGCATATGAAATCGGTGTACTGTGTCTTGATATTTATTAGAAGATTTATAAATTATATCTTTATAGGCCTATTATAAATAGAATTTGATAGCTAGCCTATATTTTGAATACGTAGTTTATTTGGTATCTTGGGAACGAGTGTTTTTAGTTGTTTATTTTTTTCCTCTATGATTTATTTGCTTTATTTTAGTGCAATATTATGCCTAAGTAGTTTAATTTTTCCCAACATAATTATATGGGCTACGTTTGCACTAATATGTTACTTAATGTTGATAACATATTTAATTGCAAAGTAGGCCTACAGCCAATTGTTGAATTACGTGATATGCATTATGGGTCTGGTTTGTGAATTGGTTGGGTATTCAAGCACTTTTGGTCACTAATTAATATATTATAGCTCATATAATGTTAGTTTTTATGTTATCTTACAATTTGTTTATAACATGATAAGAAAATCGGAGTTTGAGAGGTACGCCCTTTGGCGATAGCATTTTTACATCGCTTTTGTTGCTCCCTCATCTCTCCGACATTCATTTTTATTCTAAGCGTGTGTGTTCCTAAAAAGGATTAAAAAGTGAGGCATTATTAAGCCTACTCAATGTTTCTTGTTTTTATTTGTTTATTTATTAAAACCATGATTATACAATCAGGTACAGTACGATATAGTTTGCGCTGTACGTTCTGTGCATAATAATCAAATAGAAATGTTGTTAAAATACCACAGTGTCTTATTGGAACGAAGAGAGCTTCTCTTTAAAGTCTTTAAAGTAAAAACAAGAGGACCTTAACAACCAATTACTGTAAAATAAACATTTAGGCCACGTCTATAATAGCAAAATCAACAAAAACAGCAATAATATTTAGTAGTAGTAATAATCATAAGTAAGTAAATACAAATAACGATAATATTTAGGCCTATATATTATATATATGTAATAATAATAATAATAATAATAATAATAATAATAATAATAATAATAATAATAATAATAATAATAACAAATATTTCTGTAGAGACTCATATTTATTTTTTGTACCCAGTATGAGCTTGTAGGTATAGTATGGCACTGGAAATTAACAGAAATTGTCACAAGTATAGTACTTAGGCCTATGTAGGCATGATCTAGACAACAAGAATTACATAGGCCTATAGGCCTATTAATGATGTAACACATTTTTCTCGTGTCTTTAAAGTGACGATGCATTTATCCTGGTGACCTGAATGACCTTTTATCTCCCGGATGGTTAAAAGTTTGTGACGACTTCATAACTAGTTTCAAATGGGTCATGTTGCCAGTCTGTTGTAAGCGGTACCGTACATTTTCGTCGATTAGTTTTTTTCATAATAATAATAATAATAATAATAAGACACCAATTAAAAATATGATTTCAATAGATTCAACATAAAGTAACTTACTAATTAAATTATTGAGGTGAGCAGATGATGTCATCGCATTTAGGCATACATGGCTTATGAAATGTGAAGGATTAGATCAAAGGACTGTGGCATTGGAACAAAATCGTACAAGATTACTAATAAAAAAAAAGAAAAAAAACCTTAATAGAGCATTATGTTTCTATGCAATTGAGTGGATCTAGGCCTATAGAAACTATAACGATTAAACCTACCTTGTGTTTTGGGGCCTTTCATCCAAGGATAGAGTTGCGTTGTTGAATTTTGTTCTGTTTCCGTTTCCACATTCATTGTGCTATGCCTATTTTCACCCAGAGTGTTGTCTTCTGTTTTTATGTCTGTTATACTTGGTTGTAAATATTTAATTTCTTGATCGTTGCTGCAGTCTGCAGAAGAAACAGACGACGTTTCGTTCTTTTTAGACTGTTGTTCTTTTGAGGTATCAAAATGGAAATAAACCTGTTCGTTTTCCTGGTTGTGGACGCTTGTGAGAGTTTGGTTGAAGCTTGAATGAGCCTGACTTAAGCCCGGGTGCACTCGGTTCGTTGCGCCTGTTGTGGCTAAAAGAAACGGGGAATGGTAACCAGCGTACCAGTACTGAGCCTGGTGGGGTACGTTTTCGGCCGTAGCGTAGTCTTGTAAATACTTAATAGGATCATATAATTCGCCATTGAATATCGGACCGTTCGGCACTGGATAGAAGTCCGGCCCGATTTGGTAAGAGTTCAAATAAGTGGAGCTCATCTGTACAGAATGATTTGTGGGCTCGTGGAATATCCAGTGCTGTCGCTGTATCTATAGTGCCAATTACAATAACTTTTTGGTTAACACTAACAACGCCGAAATGTGACGAAAACGGATCACGTGATCAAAATGAACCTATAACAGGGCACGAAGACCTGTCCTGAAACCAGATGGTGTATGTTGGCAGGACAGAAAACACTTGACTGTGTTTGTAAATGTATACCACTGTATAAAGGCAATTACGATGATGTAGAGAGACATGAAGTGGGTAGAAATCTACTTCGTATAGTCTGCCATTTATGATGTTGCGGTCATGCTTGTATGAAACCCATCCATACGGTACGGCTAATTACAAGCAAGTATGTCTAAAATTACACTTAATACTGAAAAAAAATAAGTAGAACATATTTTCACGGTGTATTTTGTAATCATGGTCAGGTTTTCTTATAGGCTTAATTATATAGTAAGAGCCAAAAGAAGCAAAAGAGTGAGCCATGGTTAGCAACTGTCTCTTATACACATCTAGATGTGTATAAGAGACAGACATAGGCCTATCCAGTTGTCGGAGACAGTGTAAAACCATACTGATGGGTTAATAGTACTAGTACATGTAGCTTGCTGTTTGTTTTCTTATTTTGTTAAGGGTCAATGCGCCTACCTTTGGATGTAGGTGGTGCATCATCAATGCTGTGTTTATTAATACAAAAAAATATAAAGTTAATATATTAAAAAGCACAGGTGAACTAAAATGGCCAAGTTTGCTTCACCAATAGATGGCAGCAAACATTATTATTTACTCTGGGATCTAAGTCCCTAGAAAGATTGGTGACTCTTCATGCAGTCGTTGCACTCCCTCTGCGTTAACTAATAGTAATATCACGTGATTGAATGAGGTAACCTCTTTTGCCTTACAATCTGTGGTACATCTTATTATTTTTGAATACTCTAATTTTTTTTTTATATTACGTTACATTATAATTATGTTATATATTATGATGGGCCTATGTTACGTGGTTACTTTGTCTTGCCTTATCTTGCCGTGTCCTATCGTACGGTATCGTATAAATAGTAGAATATATTCTATTATATTTCCAGGTAATGTATTACCACTTTAAGCCCCTTTCCTCCAAAACTAGGAAAGTGATCTATGTTGCTTACATAAAGAGTTTAGGTCTACTTCCAGGTTACCGTATATTACCTGGTAATTTTATACCGTATTAATTTTTAAGGTATAAAGTACGGTAAATAATAGGCCCAATAATAATAATAATAATAATAATAATAATAATAATAATAATAATAATAATAATAATAATAATAATGAAAATAATAATAAATAATAATATGTTGTCATCGTACTGTCAGGTTACCATTATTTCAGCTTACCGTATTGATTTACAAATGATTCATTTATTTTACAATTACGATTCACGCTTATTATGAAGTACCGTAAACTATATGTTAACAAATAAACTTGAATACATCATTTGTATTGCTCTTTGAATATTGAATTCAGCCAATCAAATTATGGAATATCAAGTTTATGTTACCTGTAGAATTTAATTTCTAAGGAATTCTTAAAATTAACAATTCTGCGAAATCAGCGAAAACTAAATAATTTTAATTTCTTTCGAAGTAGATAACTTATTTGATAAATTTAATTTTTGCGAGTTTTGTTTTGTACAGGATTTAATGACAATCAATAGACCTATATCAATTTATAAAGTTACAGTACGACACCACATAGTTCAGTCGCATATTGCAAACAAATATTAATACAACAAGAATAACAATAATGTGTTTATATATAGTCTAAACTGGGCCACTGCTCTATGGGGATTCATTAAGAGACGTGGAAAGCTCTAAACACATTGTAGAAACATGGAGTGTACTATGCGTCGTAAGTCGTGTACTATTGTTCCGGTTTTTCTTCTTTTTTTTTAACGTGTAATACAAGTGTAGAACAAATCCGTACATATGTTATTCAAATGGTTTATTCGTAAGCTTATGTTATTATTCAGTTCATTGAGCGCCGAAGTCTCGTGAGATGCGAGTCTGAAAGGAACCGACAAGGTAGTGAGGTGATTTTTCTAATTACACGATGCATAATAATCAGTAATGTCTCACTAAATTTTACATTATTCATTTCTTCAACTTTCTACCAACTCAAATGGAAGACATTTTCGCGCACCCGCGATTCGAACCTCGCGTTCAGAAACCGGTTGATGACCTTTTTTCAGTCGCTTCTACATCAATAGTACGCCTGCATCTCTCTCTAGGCTTCTAATATAACACAATCAGTTGTAATAGATTGGACAGGGGTTGCTGGTGGGAACCCATTACCAATTACAGCGAAATAGCTCCTTCGAGAGTCCAAGTGCAAATTTCTCATCGAACAAAACTCTTTCTTTATCACGAAGGGAATGAACTGAATGCTACGAATCCTTAGATATGATACCAAATTATAGACCCCCTTTCAAAAGCTTTTAGCGAGAATATCGGTTTATCGTATAATGCAATGTTTGTTTTCTAAGATGCAGCAATTTTATCTCGCCCGGAGGAACATTTTTTGAGTAAAATTGTGGTAAACAAGTAGAATATTACAAGAGACATAAACGTTCGCTGAAAATGACTGGAATAAGTGCTCCACGCGGTAATCGTATTATATTAAAGAGCGTTCTAGAGATTCGCTGACGGATCGCTAATGTTCGGTCGTGAATGGTCCACGAAATGCTAAATTTCTACTCTCCATCTGTCTACGAATTCCGTGGCATGACAAGGCTGATAAGGCACCATCATCGACTTATACATAATGTAATCCGTCCGTGATCCCTAAATTAATTTATTGCTTATGGCTCTGATGAATGTTCTAATTATATTTAGTCCCATATCTCAAACTGCGATGGCGTAGAAGAAGAACCATAGTTAAGATTTCTAAACCAATTCCCAGTGTTGTAGTTTTGAGTTACACATTACCTCATGTTATTCCATCAAGCTCACTTGATATCAGCTCTTAAATTTTCTATAATGAGTCGTAAAGTGAGACATTTATGCGCGCTAGTCTTCTTTAGCACCGTCATTAGTAAGCGAATTGGCGGTAGTTTCGGACGGTTACTGGAAATTGGAATTTTGGAAGAACCAATTGAAGGGGCCGTAAAATTATGATCTGTAGTATTAAACCTCCAAAATGCAATTTGCCCTTTGAAATATGCGTTTAACGGCACAGTCAGGACACTTTAGTTTTGGCCTTTGGATAAGATACCTATAAACGCTTCACTGTACATAGTATTACAGAAAATACTATGAATAATTCGTTGTTGGAATTTTACTAGGCATATATACCGTGTAGTGTGTAGTGTGTGTTGTTTCTTCGTCTTTTCAGGAGCGCCATTTTGTACAGCATTCTCTGTGTTCTGGAAATATGCATAGATGCTCGACAGACATTTCAAAGTATCACGGTGAGGGCTTGAGAAACCTAGATTTAACTTTCGATTTTAGATCATCGTTAAAAGGGCTTTTAAACAATAATTCGTATGACCTAATTAATTAGTAGATATCAAATACTTTTCAAACGATTACAAAATTTAGCTTTCCTTTACAATCCGTACATTTTAGCGGTGAAATATCTGTTTCCTTATACGGAAAAAATAGACACTTGGTGGAGTTGCACTGAAATCGAATATATCTAGGCGTCATACACACGTCGTTTTTTAGCCACATCGTTGGTACAACCATGGACGTATAACATACGGTATACATTCACGGTACAACCAACAATGCATCGTTATTTGATACTCCGAATAATAGGCATACTATCTTTAGTTCTATTAATGTAAAGTTTGATTATCTGTTAAACTTTATTATTTTATTGTATGTATATAATAACTATAGGCCTAGCATTAATTTGACGTAATTTTAACAGGCGCTACACGCGCCGTTGTTGTGACGGCAGCATAGTCGCTGATTACGAAAAAATAATTACATTGACTTGACGCTAAAATGCAGTGTTTGAATGAAATATAACCGCTGCTTACAAAGAAACTCAAAAGAAAAATATCGCTAATTATTACAGTTCATATGTCTTCGTCGTAATATAATCGCTAAGCGAGCGAAATTTGTAAGATCCAATTAAAATATCACTTAGGCCTAGTATTTAATAATGCCTATCAGATAGAATTAGGCCTGTATGTTGTAATTTTACGTATGGTTACATCTAATCAGCTATTTGCTTAATTAATAATTAAAAAATAGATATACGGTATAATTTGATTAAAGAAATGTAGGCCTAGTCCTACACTACATAACATATGTATATAAATGTATAGGCCTATGCATACACAATATTATATGATATATCAATATACATTATGTAAGGTGCCTATATACAGTATAGTCCAATATATCGATTATAAAAAACAATTCTAATTATAATTATAATAATTTTTAACACATATGAAGGAAAACTAATCTCATGACATTGTTATGACAATAAAACA